ACACACACACACACACACACACACACACACACACACACACACACACATGGCCTAGAGTCCATGGAGCCTCAAATCCTGTCCAAACTCCATAGCATACAATGTTCTCAGGATAATCAGACCTGTGAACCATGGAACTTATGACACACATTGTCACCTTTACAACAGAGAAGTCATTACTGCAATTCTCAGCTCGCATAGTCATTGTACAAGTAGAGTACAACTTCCTAAAAAGAATCAACTCATGGATCTTTCCAGAACACTTACCCCCATATTTTCCCATACATTTTAGAACACTCAACATCGAATTTCCATATACCCTGGAAAGAAAAAGATCATGAAATCCATTATTTTCCTGTATGTATTATCCCTTCTGTAGCCAGGTAACCAAACCCACAAATCCTGTGAAACGAGATTTACCATTTCTGAGAGAGAAAGTTTTTTAGGCTCATGTAGTGGCACCAGCAACATGGTTCATCGGGAAAAGGCAGAATGATAGGGCAGGATACCGGACACCTTACTGTAGTCTCTGTACACACTCATAGGTGTAAACATGTGCACAGCACCAGAAACATACCACACACACAATAATAACGATGATTATGAATATAATAATAATAATAATTTATTTTAAAGAATGTGGTAGTTAAGTATAAAATCCTTTAGAAAGAAAACCTGAACACACGGCTACACTAGATTTGCCTCTTTCCCTCTGGATGTGAACTTGGAAATGTCTGCCGATGACTGACCATGGGCCAGATGTCAAATCAGGTTTGTCTCTAAAGATCTACCTAGACTTAAATGTGACACATGACATGCTCATTATTAATAATTTGTTTAAACCATCCTTTTCCCAGTAGTTTTGCCTTTAACATCTTTCAATGAAAATACAAAGCACACTGTGTCGCTGACTGACAGCCATCATCCTATCTCAGGTTGCATCCTTTCTGCTCATACTCATGTACAGGCTGCTGCCTTAAAGGAAGAGAAGCAGCTGTAGGTCTGTGGCAGTGTAGAGCAATTGCTGGTATGTCTAAAGCTCTAAATTCCATTCTCAGCACCACAAAAAAGAGAGAATAGGAAACCTGTCTTTAGGCCTGGAGTTGTGATGCCACAGTTAAGAGCATTTGCTGATTTTCCCAAGGGTTCATGTTCTATCCCCAGAATCTAAACCCAACACCTTACAACCATAAATATCTCTGGCATCAGTGAAACCTGTATCCTCTTTTGGCTAGTGTATATACTGCACTTATGTGCATAAACTCACATGTAGATACTCATGTATACAAGAGAGTCCTTCTAAAAGAAGCAATCGCTAACCTGGACACAATTCCTACAGGAATATCCAAAAAGAAACCATTACAATTCTCAAGTTTCCCTCAACCTGCTATAAAAAGTAAATGGCGAGGCTAGATCTATAGAAATAGCTTCAAGTTTTGATGTTAATGCAGAGAACCCAAGCACATAAAAAGTTCCCACAAAGATGTGTATGTAGGTCTGTGATATGCTGATGGTTCAGAAATATTCAGCAAAAGGAAAAAATGCTGCTCATGATTTGGATACAAAGAGGAAAATTTTAATCTAGTATATCCAGGTTGATGTCTGAGAAGTTGGAAACCTCCTCTAAATTTATTTCAAATAAGTACAGAAGTGCATTTCCAGAATTTGCACTAGGTAAGAAATAAACTTCCTTTTGCTCACAAAGTCTGTGCATCATGTCCTGAATATCAAGATTAAATGGACCAGAGTTCTGTGTATTTCACCTAAGGTAAACTTGAGGCTCAATAAACTGACATCAGGGCTCACTGTAAGATGGTTCCAAATTAAAAGGCATTTGTCATCAACTCTGACAACCTGAGATTTATCCCTAGGTCTTATGTGGTAGAAAGAGAAAGCTGACTCCTTCAAGTTGTCCCTTGATCTACATATACATGATGTCTTACATACACACTTACCCTAAAATTAGTCTCAAAGAAACCACTAGACATTCTCTAGTATCATGAGAATACCCAGCATGAGGGCATGAAATCTCAGAGCTTCCTTCCAAGGAGAGTTTAATAGAAAACCAAGCCATTATTGACTGCCAGGAATAAATACTCACCTTGTAGCAATACAGCAGAGTTCTTAAAAATGGCAGAGGTTTGGGTCCAGGAATTCCCTGTTTCTTAAAAATGTCATGGTTTTGGGTCCCCAATCTATAAGTGAAACAGAAAACATTGTGATTTCACATACAGAAGAGATGAAATAAACATTACTAAAACATGAAACCAACCAATAACTTGGTTGTCCCTCCATTTCCCAGAGAGTTTAAAGAAAAGGTAAGCGGTTCAGTGTGCATGGCAGTCTGTGGTTAGTACTTGTTTCTACTCAGTTATTTTGAATCTAGAGGTAACCTGAAAATCAATCAGGTCATACAGAGAGTGAATCTTATCACCTCAGCAAGAGGTAGTTGACAGTATGTAAGGGTTTGCTTAGCAGAGCTGCATAATGTCAATATGAACTTCCAGAGTTTGTACCACTGTGGCTATACCACAGTAGTGAATTGCTTGCCTGGCACATATAGTCCCTTCTTTGATGCTTATTTAGCCAAAAATAAACATGCACAGTGAACTCAACTCCACTGTCACATCATTTCTGTCCTTTGAGATGACTGCACAATAAAGGCATTGACTGAAAATTTTTGTTATTCTGATTTTGACTTATAAGACTCCCAAGATAGGGGCTCCACCCTGCTAGCTTCCCCGCCAGCCATCCCAGCTTCTATCCAGAGGGCCTTCGGAGTGGTGAGTTGATTCGGGTCCCCGCGGGCCCAGTGAGGGGGAGCTAGGACTCTCCCCGACCCCATAGACTCCCAGGTCAGCCTGCTCT